GAACAATGAGGGACACGATGGAGACGGCAATGTTTTGAGGCAGAATTCTACAAAATATGATACTTTGGATGTTGCAGATTTAGTCATTTTGGGTGCCCCCATTCCATACATGGATAGTCAGAAAAGTGCAAGAGACGGAACCAAATTAAATTAAATTAACAGAAAAATATTACAATTATTTTTCATGATAAAATTAATGGGACTATTTTTGTTTCTGTGCATTTTAACCTCAACGCTCGGCAATGTTGGAATGGTTGCTCTTGCACAGTACTGGGTCTATGATGCTGTAAAAAAGATTTTGGATGATGGGCATTTGCAGTTGGGCGCTACTTTGAATCAATTTTGTTTTCATAAAATTATTATTTACATTCTCATTAACTGCCTAAACTATCAACTTTCCTTAGCGTATGATATACAAATGATTATAAAGCTTGCAAAAATGATAATTTGTAACTACAATCGAAAGTCAAAATATTACTGGGTGCTACAACAATGTATACAAATGAATAATAAACACTAAAATATATGTACAGAACTGTTGCAGACATTTTCAAATATTTTTAAAGTTAATGTGACTTAAAGGCTGAAAAATGATAAAATGTTTGTTTTTTAACTACAGTCCAGCAGTAAAAAAATGTAAAATTCACAATTTGGGTTTTCAGATGAACTAAATTTTTTTTCCGAGTCTGTTTCAAGGCACAGAAAAAAATATTTTTTGTTATTTTTTTGCGTTTGAATTTGGCTCTAAGAAAATATCAAAAAATTATTGTTTGACATTATTTTTTTCATACTTTTTTAATCAGATGAAATAGTGTTAAGTTCACGAAAAAAATTAAATAAAACTAGTTTTTGGCTTTTGATAAATGTGGGTTTTGGGACGGGGGCTAAAAAAATTTTCGAATATTTTATGTTAAGTGTTACAGAGTAACTTCTCATCAGTGCCGTGGGGGTTAAAAACGTTTTTTACCATCTTATGCGGGGATACCACGTGTGCTTTACTAAACGTATGGGCATCACGCACACTTGGCAACTATACACACTCTAAACTTCCATCTCTTGCAACTCCAGAAATAAAAGATCAGAAAAGAAATGGGGGATATCAAAACATTGGTAGTATTCTATATTCGTATGCGAACATTCTTCCATCCACCCATTTAGAGATTTCTTCGCTGGAGTTGCAGATTCGAAGGGATGTAGCAACCAGTAGAGCAGCGCCCACTTCTTAGTCAGTCAATTGATGCGAAACTTGAGGTGACCAATGCTGATTCGAGGGGAGTTTTTATAACAATTATTTTCCTTCAATATTAACAACGTAATTATGGGGTCCTTAATTGAATAATTCCCACTTCCAGCAGAAATCAAAGCAACTTACGTTTAGAGAGGAAATGGACGCGCTGAACGTCATTCCGAAACGCCCTTGGGCCTTCGAAGGATTTCCCACGTTCCACAAAATAAATGGACGAAAAGTTGCATTTTAGCCGTGCACCGACGCTTAATTTCCTACTTCGCGATACTAAGAACAAAACCTGTATAACCCGTAGTATGTGCCCTTGTAGGCTACACGATACATCCCGCACTATACGCGCAAGTCTTCTTGATATTCCACGGCAGGGGGTGCGGGGAGAGGAGGGCTCTGCTACGCCACGGCTGAAAAGGGAGTACCAACTGTGCCAGCATTGGAAATTGGTACGTGCCGTTCCGAGTCGAACCTAAGTGACTCAACGTGCCGTGCTATTGGGCGCTGGCTGACGAATCGGGAGCTCGTGTATCAAGAAAACTTGTGCGAGTAATTTGTCTGACAATCACAATGGAGAGAGAGCCTACTTAGTTTAAACTTGCAAAATTATTTTAAAAGACGTGTTATATTATTATAATACCTTTTTCAAAACAATATGGTAATCATTAGTTGGCTTCGCACTTTCGTAACATCAAAAGAATAATAGGCTTATTTGCCCCGCGTTCTAAGCCCTTGAACGGCAGATACTAAGTAAGGCAAGCACAATGTTCTCAGTCGAATGTAACTACGAATTTAGCTAATAAAAGACAGGATATTAAGAGAAGTGTTACTTAGCTAACTTCTTCCTAAAATTGAATTTACATACGAGTTGTGTTAACTTCGAAAATATTACAGCAGTGCTTTTTCCTATTATGGTAATATTAATGTGAATTTTTGTAAGTATAATTTTTTACAACACTATAATTTACAATCGTAAAATTATTGTACTAGTCTTTGCCTCGTTCATATTCATTGAAAGTAACACGGAAAATTATAAAAGTATTTAAAAACCGAAAAACAGGATAGGCCTGAAAATGAGAGATCGGTGCCTCCGAAGCTCGAAGCAGGGACAATGAAAGAGGCTAATGCAAATTGACAATGTCGTTTTCTTTACTTTCAGAAGAAAATATACTCACTCTTCGCAATTTCTATAGCGCCAATGTCAACAAAAATTCAACTCACAAATGTTTACATCCTATTACTTCCCAAAACAACAAATACACAAGGAAATACTACGTGATATACTGAAATGATGTATTGTAAGATATCCCTAAAATGGCAGGTTCAACATAACCACGAATGTTGCAGACCCCATAAATTGCTTATTTATATTATTACACTAACAGCACCCCTTGTGATAATCAGGCGGATCATTCTGAGACTTTGTTACAATCAGCATTGCGTATTACTCGGGATTCATTTTACCTTACTGTTTCATCACTTTCATCACTAATGCCCGTTGCGGGAATGAAAAGGTTCCAGGTGGTATAGTGGCTGTGCGAAAGAGAATGCGCATCCACGTGTGTGCGCGGGTCGCGTACGTTTTCTTTTCCCGCCACCACGCAAAATGAACACTTACTGCCGCAAATGTCCATTACTGAATATATGAAAACAAAAAGTGAATATCTGTTTACGAGCATAAATTCTGTATTATACTATTATTAATCTGTTAACATATACAATTTCACACCGCAAATTACCTATATAATTTAATACTATATAATACATTAGGTCAATAAAGTGAGAGAAGGGTTATGGAAAAAACGAAATTATCAGAATGAAAACAAGTTCACAATACGAAGAGTAATGTGAAAATTGTAAATCTGGATTCTTTACTCGAGGCTCCTCGGGAACATTTCAGTGACCACGCCCACGCACAGAATCGATCGACGCACTCCCAAACAGAGCTTTGTTTCCAAACAAGACTGGCACAATAAGAATTGCTTGCTTTACTGATTACTGGCAAATTCATTAAACAATCTGACCGTACAAGCGTAATTCCAATACAGGGAGATCGATTCTTCTCCTAAACTATTTGAAAAGAAAAAAAGTCGGACACTCCCCGACGACAACTGGTGACGAATCGTGCATGCTCCGTTACGAGTCTAAAAATACTTATAATATATTTTGATCTTGAAAATAACACTCCAGGAAGACTACAGAATGCATGATAGAAAGTAAATAATATATCCCAACAAAAGATCTGAACGACAGCTTCACCTATTTCCGGATGACATTCAAATGTTTCCAGAGAATTCTTAAGCGAGGTGATCTCATGCATTAGTTTAGTTACACAATGACAATGCTGGACAGTAAGTAAATTTGAGAGAATAATTCGCTGAAAAGGTCTTCTCTTCATACATTTTCTTCAAATTTGTCATTACTAATACCTTCTCCTATTTAACTCTCTCCTTAAGCGTTTTTTAACTCAACATTTTCCCTTCACAAATTCATTCAGATTCAAATTAAAACTCCATGCAAGCGTCGACACATACGATCCATTATTCCAGCTAATAGGCGTTCCCCTTACATTTGATGGAATGGAAAAAGAAACAGGAGAATTATGGATCACAGTGAAGAGAGAAATTGCTTGCAACAGCAATATCAAATAACTTAAGTTTTCCGTGACAATCTCAAATTTCGTGATCTTTTCCTGTTTGCAAGTAGAAACTCATGTTCTTGTCAAAATCATCCACTCTCTCAGTTTGACATTCATTTCATAGTAGGCACATGAATCGAAATTGCTCATCTCCCAATGCATAGTAAGTACGTTAAGGAAACAAGAGATTTATAAGACGGAAGCACACTACTGTATGGAATGCTTGAAACAATTTTAAAATGAAAATTTAACAATACTGCAAATGATGATGTGAAAGAAACACCAGGTGGCCGAACATACTTGCAATATCCTGCTGTAACACAAGCTACTATTGTGCATAACTCAAAAAAAAAGTGTCCTAGGTACTGAAAATTCAAGTTGAGTGGATACTACATATGTTTGTTTTTTAAGCTTCAATCTACAAAATTAGACTTTTTTTTGGAAATTATATATTTTCTGGGGATATTCTTTAACATAGATTGTAAGTCACAGTCGAAATTGGTATTGTATAAAACTATTTTTACTTTCCCATATACATATATACAGAGTAACATACATAGTACAGGGAAAGTTATGTAATGATGCGGAAAATAGATTTCTAGATTTCAACAAAAATACCAGTTTTAGGGTCCTCTGATATCGAAAAAATGTTGTTTTTTTTTCTTCAAAACATTCTTCCGTCTGTCTGGTGTATGAGAACAATACTAGCACCTAAACAATGTATAATATTTTTCCCAAATTGAAGAAACCCCCACAAATTTTTTTAAAAAATTTCTTGTAGTACTAGAGTAAAATATAGTTATAAAGGTTGCATAGGTCTGATTTCCACAGTTAACTCTAAATTTTCGAAAATTTCAAAAGTTTGAATTTTTTTTAAGGCCTTTCTACAACTACAAAATTAATGATAATTTTTTCTTTCAAATAAAACTTGTTGTCCATAATTTTTTTCTTTCATTAAGGTCTTCATTTCTTTTAAATTGTCGTTTGCAATTTGTGCAATTTAAAAAATGTATAAAAACAAGATTTTCTCAAAAACTGAACCAAATGTTTTCTTCTGTACTTCTGATATGTACAGTACTAAATGTACTCTATAAGATTACGTAAATGCCACATTGCTCCATTCTTATACTTTTTAAAAATTACAAAAATGTAATATTTTTGACCTGCCTCCCATGCCGTTAATATTTACACTGGCGGCAATTTGTTCACATTATTCTATTTACGATTACATGAGCTTGAAGTATTGTCATATAAAGTTTCCCGAAAACTCTACGGTTTTCTGTGAAAACTATCTCAAAACTCTGCACTTTCAGAAACGCACAAACTGCATTTTCTCCAAAACGGCTCCAATTTTTTTCTTCAAACTTTTCAAAAGGATAGTGGTAATTGCACTCTTTAATATGAGTAAGTTTATTTCCCCCCCCCCCCAAAAAAAATTACACAAATGTAATTTTTTTTAGTTCTCACGTCGTTAATATGTACATTTCCCGAAATTTGTGCACATTGTATTTGTCAGTTTACGTGCCTCAAATGAAGTTTTCCAAAAACTCAAACTTTTCTGAGAAAAAGCTTCTAATATCGAACTTACAGGAGCGCTTAAACGCCAGTTGTTGGGTTTTTTTTTTTTTAAATTATTATTATTATTATCGTCTTCAAATTTTGCTATTTAGGGCGAGTTTTACTGTTCCTTGTTAATCTTGAAATACTATTTCCAATCTACTATTAGGAAACCGAAAAATTAAGAAAAGTCTAAAAAAATGTATTTGCGGCGATAGATAGCAGCGTGCAAGGATATATGGTTTGAAAAATTGCTTTCTAGGCCAACATTTGCATTGCAAAAGCATATAAAATCTCCAGAAACATGTATCTTGTTTATTACTTACAAAATTACGTGCTCATTGCGGCTCAACCATTAAGAATATACGAGTGGTTTATTAGACAAAATATGCTTTAATTGCCTTAGAGTTGATCTGCGAAGTTTCGTTTTCTGCCCGGATACCTGATACGCCCGTTTCATTCATCAGGCGAACACAAATCGTTAAAAAAGGTGTACGTTTAATAAATAAATACCTACAAAATTGCACAAAGAGTATTGATCATATTCGAAACAAAATCAAGTAAAGGAATTTCCAATCTGATGATCCAATGTTCACATCAATTAATGTGAGCGAAATTGTGAAACGTGCACTATTTTGAACTCGTAACTTTCGCTCTAGCTCTGAAGTAGGCGACTGCGTGATTAATTTTTACTAAGAAGGTTTAGTTTACATCTCTCTCCGTCCTCTGCATAGGATTGCTCCTTTGTGGATATTATTTCATTAAAATATTTAATGCATCTTAATTTCCTCTGAATTTGAACATTCAGCTAGAGGCCCCCCGTTTGTTTCTGAGCGGCGCTGTACCCCTCGAACAAATTGAATTTGGAGTTTTAAAAACCCTCCGCTGCGGGGCCGGTGCCGGTTTTCGGCGTTCTCTCTTTCACGGCCGGTCGCAGTTCAGGAGCGCGCCGCTGCCACACCGCGAGCGCCACCTCCCGCGTTCCACCCAGGCTCTTTTTTTCTCTCTCTCCTTTTTCCTTTTTTTTTTTCGCACGACGTAGCATACCCAAGCCTAATCGGGTACGCAGATAAATATTTCCCACGCTGACACGTTACTCACAATCGCGGCAAGTACAGGTCTTCGGGGGCAGTATGAACGTTCATTAATACATTTATTTTCAACACTCACTCTCTTTTCAAAGCAATTTGGAGAATGGAAATACTCTCACACCACGTAGTAATGAATTCAAGATGGCAGTATTTTCAGTTGGAATTCAATGCACCACTAGCAAATCTCGATTGCATCCACATAGTAATACATCACACGTTCATCTTCTACAACTATCAAAATATAAAATTATCTGTAACTACAAACCAGGGCCTCTCGTCGATAAATCATAATATGATAGTTATGAGGTAATGTACTTCTAAGGAAGCACCACCGTTTTCTCTCTCATACGTCACGTACAGTTTTTACTGTTTTTTTTTTGTTTGTTTGTTTGTTTGTTTGACTAAATAAATCAAATCAAATATTGCGGCATCCGTGACATGCAGATCAAGGAATGTACTTTGTACAATCGCAAGGCAATGAGAAATGGAAGATATTTTCCCATTAACATTTGTTCGCAATGAAATGAATTAACCGCATTAAATTCCCCGTAATTTCACATCACGTTTCTACAACATGCGTATATTATTAAATCAGCCAGCAGCACCGATGTTCATGTACTGAGAGATATGAGCCTAAGCAATAACCGACGTGACCGCTTTCATAGAAGGGATTCCCATCAACCTCCATTCTATCGCGCAAGAAAAGCGGATGACCTTTGAACGAGTGTTTCGACTAAATTTTCACATGTTCAGGAATAAATGAGTAATTAGTATTTCAATATTGATTCCACAGAGCGGGCGGAAATCATTCCGATTAGTTTGAATTGACAAAGTCAAAACGCCTCTAAAAGGCAGGAGTACTGTACCACGCATCGTTCTTTTAATTCAAAGTTCATTCTCACTTCAATACAATGGCAGCCGGGAGGAGGATGGGGCCTCATGAGCTTACGGTCAATTGGACCCCCTTGAAAACGAAGAGAATTCAAAAATACTTTTGAAGGCGTATAAATACCGTCTAAACAATATTTGTTACTTAATTTTAATGGTATTAACGAATAAAGTATTTTAACCATTTAATTTGACACAGTAGATTCTTTTTCAAGTAGATTATTTTTACTGATTGTTTATAAATATATGAATGGTTGCTTTTGGTCCCGAATCTCAATTAGTATATTTCTTATTATTTCATCCATGGCAAAATGTACATAAGGGTGTAAAAATAAATATTTAAATTAAATTTTTAAATAAACTGCAGAAGCTAAGACCATTGTTCTTGATTTATCCAACTTATGTTAATACCGAAAGATATACATAACATACGAAGTCTTGTTACCAGAAGTGTAACATTTGTCTCATGGTTGGTACTCTCAAATTTTTTTTTATTAAATAGCACGTAAAGAACATTTACTACGGAATAAAGTCTCCTTTATAACAAAAATCTAAATAAGAATCTAAAATAATCCGTAACCAAAAGAATTCTCTGTCATCTTTCTTTTAAATATATACCCCCTAGCGCAACGCGTATTATAAAATAAATCAGAAAAAATACAAAAAATAAACAACACATCAGTAATAATAATAATAATAATAATAATAATAATAATAATAATAATAATGGGCGCAGAGCCACGTCGGAGTCAAGACGCGAGGAAAACGGTCATTATTTCGAGAAATTGGAGAAACCAAATAGCAGCAACTAAAATGCTAAAAGAATAAATCCTCCTTCAGCTATTAGCGAAAGCGTGTTACACCTTCCAACAAAAGAAACAGGTTTCAAACGCGATATCAACAAGCGCATTAATTCCCGCTCCTGGAAGTTAGGCAACCGTGAACACAAACGGCAGCGCATTCCGAGACTCCTGCGGTTAGGCAACCACCTCTCCTCCGTCAAATGCATCAACGCAGCAACGAGCTCTCCTCCGACCGCCCCACGCGCCTCGTGTCAGGCAGGCCGACTTCCCCTCCCCCGCTCGCTTCGCAATTCCCCGGCGCATTTGACACCCACTGCGTCGACAGTTTCGGTCCCCGACCCCATCCGTTTCATACCCTCCCCGCCTCCCCCGCGATTTCCGCCGCCATTGAAGCGGAGACGCCCAGCAACGGCGGCGAGGTGCCGAGAGGGACGGCGGCGGGCCCGCCTCTTCCTTCCCCCCCAAGAAGCTGAAGACCGGAAGCCCAAAGTGAAGCACCGCGGCGGCCCGGCCGTGCCGCGACGCCGCCGCGACGCGCCGCGAACGCGCCCGCCACCGCCAGTATTGATGTCTGCCCGTCACGTCACGGGCGCATGAGGCGGCACTGACGCACCCGAATCGCCGACGCCGCGGGCGCCAGAA